GTGGGAGCACTCGGGGCAGTGACCCCCAAACTAGATGAGTGGTTGCAACAGATCCCGGGAACAACATCGGACATCTCAGTCCAGAAATGTGCAGTGCTGGGAACAGCAAGGATACTGCGCAGAACCCTCAAACTTCCTGGCCTCTGGTCGAGGACCCGAGCTGAATGAGGGACGGACACCACCCGAGGGGTGAGGCGAGGATTTTATATATATATACAAAATCATTCGAAAATGTCCAAGGCACAAATCAGCATCGTGAGCGATCGCCCGACTGGTGAACACTTGAGTGATTGACATTTGGGTAAAACTATTGGAACACCTAACAGCCCGAGGGGCGAATGACGAGGTCGCTGCATCGACACGTATCAATCTATCTCCACACGGACACATACGGTCGAGGTCCCTCTTTGCCAATGGGATGCCAGGAAGATGATCGGTAATAGCCAATGGCAGAACAGCTATCAGTATATTGCGTTCAGGAAACTCGGAGCTGCGAAAAGCAGCATATACTGTATTTTTACCTTTGGTATTTTGAAATTTCTTTCGTAACAAGAGGCGATATTTTCCTGTTGAGGCGTTTTGTAACTTGAAAATTCCGTATAAAGAGACGTTCGAAAGTCGAGGTACCACTCTACAGCTGTGCAAATCAGTAGAGTATGAAGTGAGTTTACCAAGTGGTTGTTTTGAAGCTGTTGGCTAATCATGTTCCACATCTGAGCATGATGGTTGACTCTGTAGAATCCGATATGATCATTGTTGATCTTCAGCAGGCCATCCACTGAAGGTAAGTAGTTTTTGAGAACAAGCTCTGAAAAACATGAGTGGAAACGAAAAATTTTACTTTTGATCAACCAGGTGAGATTAAGATTATTAACTAAAATGTATTGTGAATATACAGCATGAAGAATACACTTTCCTCGGGAATGCAACCCCTGTTCACTCTGTTTGAATGACGGTCAGAAAAATTACACATTTTTGTAAATACTTATTTGGAATAAAAATGAAAATATGTACTGTGATTGGCTGGCAACCAGTTCAGGGTGTCTCCCACTTACTGCGTGAAGACAACTGGGATAGGCTCCGGCACACCTGCGACCCTCATGAGGATGGCTCAGTGACAGAGTGGTTCTTTCCCAACCCTGAGGTTGGTGGTTTGATCCCAGGCCATTGCGACCATGTTGAAGTGTCCTTGAGCAAGTTACTGAACCCTCAGTTGCTCCTGATCGGTCGATGAATGAGGTAACATGTTTATAGCGCTTTGAGTAGCCAAGGTAGAAAAGCGCATGATAAGTGACCCATTTACCATTTAAAAACTGGATGGATGGATAAAAATATGTATAGACTAATATGTGTATGTCTATCAAACATACTCAACATGAGTATGCCCGGAGATATATTTTGGCATTTGTTGACTGACTGATTGATTTGTTACTCATTATTTTCTTTGGCAAACTGCTAAAATAACGCATCAAGACCTACTTTGAGTACAGTTTTGTCGTCTGTGAGTTCTTTTGCGTTACAATCGGATTTGTATTGTTATTTTTTCTTTCTGTGTGACATTTGCTTCTTAACATGTACTCATACACTTACATAGGATCACCTATGTGTATCAGTTTGTTTGAGTTGTGACTGTGCTTCATGCATGTGATTATTCTTGATTGGCGTAAACAAAATTAAAAATAACATGCATATAAGGGGGCGGCACAGTGCCCAACTCTTTAGCACGTCGGCCTCACAGTGCAGAAGTGCAGGGTTAGAATCCGGCTCTGGTCTTCCTGTGTGGAGTTTGCATGTTCTCCAGGTGCCTGCGTGGGTTTTCTCCAGGTACTATGGTTTCCTCCCACATTGCAAAAATATGCATAGCAGGTTGAGTGGGCACTCCACATTGTCCCTAGGTGTGAGTGTGAGCACGAATGTTTTTTTGTCTATTTGTTCCTGCGATTGGGTGGCAACCAGTTCGGGGTGTACCCCGCCTACTGCCTGAATACAGCTGCGATAGGCTCCAGCATGCCTGTGACCTCTCGTGAGGCTAAGCGGATTAGAAAATGGATGGTTGGATGGTGTTTGGAGAGTTTGAACTTTTTGGTGATAATTCCAAAGGGAATGTTAGGTGTAAACACACTACAAAAGAACATCATATGGTGGGGGCACCATGAAGCTTTGGGCTGTTTTTATTCAAGTTCTTTTCTCAGGTTCTCTTCAGGTGGAGAGAATTATGAACGTTCCAAATCCCAGTTAGTACAGGGGTCGGCAACCCAAAATGTTGAAAGAGCCATATTAGACCAAAAAAACAAAAAACAAATATCTGGAGCCGCAAAAAATTAAAAGCCTCACAATGATAAGCAACACATACTGTATTTATCGATATTAGCTATCTTAACCTACTGTCAAAATGACGACGTTGGCTACAAATACACAATGAGTCTTCATGAGTAAACATTTTTTTCCCCCTGCAGTGCATCTATAGAGCAGAGGTGCCCAACCTTTTTTGACAGAAGATCCTTTTCGATCAGCCAACCTCCCGCAATCGACCCGTTACCGCACATGCGCGCATACGCACACACTTACACATGCATGCCATCATGACAACAGCCATAACGCCCCGAAGATGATCGAGGCATGGGACACACTTTTGCAGTGTCCCCTTTAACTATCGTAGCTCACGTGTACTGTTTAAAAATGCTTCTCTCGGCCCTCCACATTCCCATTCTTTGACAGTACCCTCGGTGAATTGTACATGAAACGCTGTTTTGTTTTGGGTTTTTTAACAGCCACCTGCCTGGCATCCCGTCCTGCAAATAGAAACGTGTGTTGCATGCTATGACGCAAATCCTCGTTGACAGAAATGTTGAAATTTATTCGAGACATTTTTACAGCATTGGGAAATGTTAAGAATGTTTGGGTCATGTTAGAAACCATATTAGAACAAAAAATATATTTCCTACCCCATCTTTTTCAATTTTTAAACATTTTGGAAAAAGCTCCAGGGAGCCACTAGGACGGCGCTAAAGAACCACACGCGCCTCTTGAGCCACGAGTTGTCGACCATCAAGCTGGTATTAACACAAAACCCTCAACCATTGCTTGAGAGCAAAACATTATCAGCCTAAAAGAACATCTGAGGTTTCTCAGAGTCACTTGAAATAGAGACAGCTGTGCTCTGACACCTATTTAACTCGAACTTGAATGTGAGTGGTTAATTCTGAACAAAGCCACATCACCAGTTAAGTGGAGAGTCAAAATTGTGAATCCAAGGTCATTGTCTCTATCTTTCTGGATTAGCCTTTCAATCGGGTGTACACTCAGTCCAGAGTGTACACTACAATCCATGTCCCCATAAACAGGTATGATGATGAATGAAGCATATTATCCTACCTGTGCTACTCTTGTTAAACATGACTGACATGTTCTTATTGCTCTTCAAGGAGTGCCACTTGATCGGTATAGTCCACTTGTACCTGTTGGGGGGAGGGGGGGTGCACAATTTTTTTTCCTCAATCTTCAAATTTAATTTAATTTCCTATTCAGGAGTAGAGACACTTTATGCATAATGACTCAATTTTCAGGTACTCAGAGGCACTTGAATATGCAACATGGAAATGAAACCATATCTTTGAACAATTGGATAAAATCTATTTGCAGTCAATAAACACTTGAAATTTGGAGGCCATAAATATCACTCAATTTTGAGTTCCCTGGATATTTATCAAACCTTCATCCTCCATTTTCCTTTCAAGATTCTTCAAGCGCTTTGCAAATGCTTATAGTTTTTTGCATCTTTATTCATCAGCGATAGGAAGAACCATTAGTTTTGTTGTGATGTACGAAATATATCAATCAAAGTTTGAGTGTCTTTTTACCCAAGGGGTGAGGGAGGTTGGTTGGCATCGGCATTCGGGTCCAGGAGAAAACGAGTTTGGTTCAATGTGGCATTCGCCTCTGTGACACTCAAATCCACCACTGGATAACCCATCTGCTTCGTCCATGTGTCCATGACCTCACTAACTGGTAATGAACTCACCTATCCAGAGGAAAATGTCTGTTGTTTAATGACCAGAACACACAGACCATATAATCTCAATCAAGCGCCAGACCGAAACGCACTTCTGCCAAAGACGCCCAAAAATTGTTGGTTTTAGCGTTCTTGAAGTGGTAATCTTTTAAATATTTCTGCAAAAACAAGAAAGAAGGATTCAGTCAGATTAAACATTGAAATGTTCTCAAATGCAACTGTAAATACAGTGCTACCTCTACTTACGAATGTCTCTTCATGCTAAATTTTCAAGTTATGAAACAACCTCAACGGGAAAATATTGCCTCGTTACGAAAGAAATTTCAAAATACGAAAGGTAAAAATACAGTATGGGCTGTTACTCGCAGCACCGAGTTTCCTAACCGTAAAATATGTATAGCTGCTCTGCCATTAGCTATTACCGAGCTTTGTCGATGCATGTAGATAATAGATAAATGTCTATGCAGCGTCTTTATCGTTCGTTCCTCAGGCTATGAGGTGGTCTGATTGTTTTACACAAATGTGAATCACCCAGAAAAAGTGTTCACCAGTCGGGTGATCGCTCACTATGCTGATTTTTGCCTGAAGATAAGATAACCTTTATTGATCCCTTGGACATTTTCAAAGGATTGTTAAAAGCCGACAAATGCAAAGGTCCTTGGATCAGTTCTTTACAAAATGCCAGGCAAAAAAAAAACGCCTCTGAGAGAGATCATGGACGAAAAAGGGCAAAAAAACGACGAGGACGCAGTTGAAAGTTACATAACCATCATTGTCAGGCTGGCATCTTTTATTATTTATCTTATTTTTATTATTTTTATTTATTTATTTATTTATTATTATTAGTATTATTTTTTTTAATTATATATATATATATATATATATATATATATTTTATTCGTTACTCTCCTCTTTGTTTTTTACATTATGCACAACTCTCATTTCTTGTGCAATAATCTAATTGTAACATGTATTTGTTACATATTTTGATGCATTTAATGCTTTATAAAACATTTATGTCAGAATTTTGGGGGGCTTGGAAAGGATTAGGGCATTTACATGGAAAACGCGTCTCCACTTACATTTTCTAGTTAAGAAATTTCCAGAACCAATTAATTTCATCAGTAGAGGTACCACTGTACTCCAAAGTCTTTGAATTAGGGTTGCAGACAAGAGGCAATGTACCTGACAGCCAGCTCTGAATTTATCTCGACCCATCCAGTCCTCAAGCATCCTGAGAATTGATGCCCCCTAGACAGAGAATAACGCATATAGTTTCATGAATCTTAAATTTCTCTTCAGTGATGCAAGGGGGGATTTTTGCCATCGTCAAACCTTGCTGTATGATATGGCATCAAACACAGAGGTGATTTCTGCGGGGGACGAGACATTGACAATAATGGGGTGGGATGAGAGGAGGGCGTCATCCACCATCACAGGAAGCACATCACTGATGATCATTATGTCCCGCTGTATACCCAGTGGAGGACACAGAAGTCAGTGCATCGAGGTCACAGAAGTGGCTTGTTTCTCTGTGCTAAATTACCATGCGCCAGCTGGGCTCTGCTTTCTCCACGCCAATGTACTCAAAGAAGCTGGCAAAGCCTTCGTTGAGCCACAGATCATCCCACCAATCCATCGTCACAATATTCCCAAACCACTGCAATGACACATTTCTCCAATTTTTTAGTAAGATAAGATAAGATAAGAAAACTTTTATCGTCTCACTATGAAGAAATTTGCAATGGACAGCAGGTAAGTTCGGAGGGAAGAAGTAGAAAAAGTAGAAAACAAGTATTTGCACGCACAAAAGAATTAAAAAAAAAAAGAACTGTACACAGCACAGAATGCAATATAAAAATACAAAATATAAGATAGCATATATGCAACTGTGTATGTGCTGCATAAGGTGGCTGTGCTATTTACAATGGGTGAGTGGGGGAGAGTATAGGTTTTCAGGTATGTCTATTCAGAAGCCTGACAGCAGTCGTCAGGAACGAGCAGAAAAACACCAACATAAATCGACAACTAGATAACTGCATAAATAAATTAATTTCATTGGTCATCAAGCAAGCACACATTTGACTGAAATATTGCCCCCCCCAAGTACTTTTTTAAGCTTCTTTACACCACCAAAATGCATCTGGGATAAAACAATCAAAATGTGATTGGGTTTAAAAGGCTACACAAACATACAGCATTTGGTGTTCGTATTACACACTCATTAGATGCAGAGCACCTTCATTTGCAGGGATTCAAAAGTATTTGGACAAAATATACCAATCGTCTTTAAAACCTCTGAGGTCTCTAATCCAACAACAGGGCGCTTCACAGACGAGAGACCTTGAATGATGCTTCGCCATGGGATATAATTCTGACCCTGGAAATGACTAAAAGGAGAGGGCCCGAGGTTTCTGAGAAAGTTGATGTGGCAAAATAAGATCAATTAGAGGGGCCAAGCTCATGAAGGCCTTTATAATTCGGAAGAACCGTATGATAGAATTTAAAACCCACAGGAAGCAAATGAAGGGGTTTCTAAAACTGGCGTAATGTGCTCTCCTCTTTCTGGTCCTCCTCACCTGAAGAGCTGCTGAATTCTGCGGTAAATTTAAATTACTGAGTGTAAAGGACTACAAGTTTATTTGCCAAATTGTTGCAATGTCAGACCTTTACTTTTAACTTCTTGTTAAGCGGAAGTCTTATTTTGAAGGAAAACAAAAGAGGACGACTGAGGAGACGGTGACGTGATCAGACGACTCGGAACAGCTGAAACAGATTTGCAGACGACAGAACTAAGTTTAAAAGTACTTAGCCGGGTTGAAAGTGGCAACAAGGTCAATATTTGTATTGATCTTCCTATAAACCTGTTTGTGATTAGAATATATTTTTAATTGATTGCGTTTTATACGTACGTAGATAAGCGTGACTCATGGCGTCATATCTGTTTTATGTTCTAGCTCGTATGGTGTGAGAGGTTTATACGGCATGGAAGAAATAAAAAGATAACTTTCTACCACCTGTTAAGCTTTATTATTTCAACCGACGCTACACCGAGGGATGAAATAAAATAATCAATGCAACGGGAGATAAAAGCGTGCATCAGCTTCTTCACATTTTTTTTTCTAGACAGAAACAGGGAAACTCAGGCTTTCAACTTTGTCTGATGGAGTAATACAAAGATGTTGTAATTTTGCCCAACGTTTCTCTCTCTGAGCTCCAGGACAAATAATTAAAACTTCAATTGCGTTGTAGAAAGTTTTCTGTCAAACAGGACTCGTTTTCTAAAATACAATTAAAAAGACTCACTTGGGTTGTGGTCATCAGGAGAGCATCAAATGCAGTCTGTCTGAAAGGTGTTTATTTCAGAAAAAGAATTGTTCTGAAATATGGATAATTTTGTCCTTTACCTTTCCCTCGTGAATACTGGATGTAATCAGTGGCATTACTAAAAACCAGATAATAAAAAGCTTATGCAGAAACATCTGATTGTCATCAGGCTTCAGACAAATGATTTTATGACATAGTACTACACAGGGTGAAGGTTTATTGTTTATTGTCTGTAAAAAGGTTGTGTCATAAAAGACAATCATTTGTATGTTTTATTACAAATGATCCAACTGATGCCTCCTTCCAGGTGTGGCGCTAAGATTTTTTTTTTCTGTACTCTCTTGGGGCGTGCTTGATGGATATCTGAGTGCTGAGAAAAAAATACATTTTCAGAACCTTCACTTATTCTATGAAGTGTTTCTCTTTTCTTTTTCAGTTCAGGAATAATGCACAGCACAAGCATGTTCGATATGAAAGGAATTTTAACTGAATCTGGGCTAAGAATATTCAACACACACACACACACACACACACACACACACACACACACAATGGCAAAATCAAGAACCACCACTCGACCTCCCCCAAACACAAAATGGGGTACGGTGCAGCTCAAATACTGAATCAGGGATTGGAACAGAAGGTCTACTTGTGAACTTCATGTTTTTCAATGAATCATACAAAAATTTCAAATGCCAAATACAATACTGGAGGGCCTTAACTGGAGCTCCACCGATTTCTGACAGGGCGAGATCATCCCAGAGCCCTGGTGTCGTGCCCCGCCTGCCTCCTTCCCGTAACTTTTTAACAGTCCATAAAACTTTACTGACTGCTACAGTGCTTCTTGGGTTCAAATTTCTTGTTGCTGTTCTCTGGGAAATACATATTCAATGATCCACCAACAATCAAGACCTTGAACTACAATTGCCTCAAACAAATCTCTTCATCCTTGCTCAGCAACGATAAGAGCAACTGCAACATTGCCAAGTTAAGAAGCTCGATCAAAATTTTTCCTTTCATTTTCTGGAAAAGTAGCTTAAATAAAGGGCTGAAATATACAACATATGCATGGGTCTTCTTAACATAACCCAAATTTAAATAAATAAAAAAAAACATCCATGCATGTGTAATGAAAGATATTGATTTTTGAGTTGAGCAATGGTTGTAATATTTCTCTCGATCAAATTTCCCGCTTTCAGAAAAAAATGATTAAGTCGCATTACCTGATGGACCAGCTCATGGGCAATGACACTTGCAACTCTCTGCATATTGTAGGAGGAGGATTGTTTCTCATCATACAGCAAGTTGGTCTCCCTGTAGGTAATCAGTCCCCAGTTCTCCATAGCACCAGTGCCAAAGTCAGGGATGGCTATCTTGTCTAGAAAACACACACGACTTACACACATACCGCGTAACATCAGCGCACATTTTGTGTTATTAATTTGCAGTGATACCCAGTTTTGAGATGGAGTAGGTCATGTTGAAGTATTCCTCAAAGTAATCAAAAATGATCTTGGTTGTGTTTGCTGCGTATGTTGCAGTTGATATCTGGCTCGGCTGGGTGTAGATTCTCAGCTAAAAACAAAAACATCAAAACAAACAAAGAAAATACATTTATTTGTGCCTGGTTGTAGTAAAATCAGTTGAGTAGAGATTGGTAACAAGAGTAGAAGGCGGTGGTGATGAACTCACTGGAATTCCTCGGGCAGATATTCTTTCCACATGAGCGAATTGGTGCACAGCAAAACATACTAAATAGGTGCTCATTGGAATGGATTTCTGGAATGAGGTCCTCTTTTTATTGCCAGACAGAAGGTCAGGGGCACCCTGAACAGACAGTGGAAATGGCTCATGAGGCTAATGTGCATGTCATTCAGTCTGCAAAACTCAAGTCGGCTTACATACCCCTTACCCCACAAAAGACGGGCCAAAGATTCATTCCTCCGTGTTGATACGCAACTCGCCCCCCCCCCCACCTCCCAGCAAAGCATGGCATAGTTTAAGCATGCAAATTATGGTATTTTCTCTTCCCCCCTTCTCATACAGTTAACTCGTTCAATGCCAAGGACGTTTTTCCATGTTTTTTTTTTTTGGGGGGGGGGTTGTTTTTTTTGTTTTTTGTTTTAAGAATCCGGGCATTTAATTCCAGGTACGTATGTGTTTTTACATTTTTACATTGCATCAATGTTATTGGCGAGGACAAAAAAAAAATCAAGATGTTACATACAGATCATCGAAGTTTGAATTTTCAAGACATAATTTAAGAGGTAAAATTCCTGAGATGGGTCATTGCAATGTAAAGAACAAACAGCATATGAAATCGGATACCCCCCCTCCCCACATCAGAATCAGGCCTCTTTCAAAGGTGGCTACAAATTGGCTATCTGCCAACATGACTGCAATCCAAACCCAATAAATAAATACATAAAAAGATTCAAATTAAAAGGAGAAATGAGAGAAATAAGCAGCTGACAGCACAGGTTGATGCAACATGGAACTTGTGTAGGTATCATCGACAAGGCCTGGTTCCAGCAGCAAGTCGTACTGGAGATATGCCAGTTGGTTTCCTATGCACTGTTCAAAGGCGGTGAAGCCTCAAAAGCTCTTTGTCTGACACTGTTGTGTAACCCTGCCACCTTGACATCTCTCCCCAGAGTGTAGAGAGAGAGAATGGAGTCAAAGTGTGTGGGGGAACAAAAGAATATTAGGCTTGAACTAATTAGCCGTAGACACTTAATGCTATTGAAGTGCCTTACAAAGTAAACACATGCTTTTTTTGCTTCCACACATTTTGGCATTATTATTGTTTGGCATGGAGGATATTCTTTTCAGATGTTGCAATTATAATACATACCTCATGTGGCATGTTGGACAGAGCGTCATAGGTCTCGTCATGAATGATAGAGATTTTATAGGTGGCCTTTTTGTTTGGTTCATCAAAGCACGGAAACGATTTTCGGGCATCTGTTGGCTCATGATCAGTCGCAGCAATCTTTCTGATGGAATAGATGCAAGAGTAGTGCACAAACAGCAACTGTGAACCCATCTTACAATACATGTAGCTGAGCCTTGCTTACGTTTGCATTCTTGATTTCGACTTGATACGTGAACTATAAACTACTGTATGGACTAAGTAGATAACTTTTCAAATTTCTTCCCTGCATTCCTCAATACTTTTTTCATCAATGCTCCACTTTTCACCTTTTGATTATCCTACCGTCCATGAAACACATTGAAGGCGGTCACCATCAAGAGAAAATACTGCACAATAGTCACATTACCGAGAAAGCCGACGTGTTTGAAAAGAAAAAAAAAAAAAGAATTGACTTACTTGCTGATGCCTGCTTCGGTGTAAACGACTCTGTAAAATCCCACCAGGGAGCCGTTTAGCCACCCTTGGAAATCCAAACTGAGCACATACACTTCCTGAGGGCCTGTGACAGGTAGCTCCTCTGTAGCTTCCACCACCACATATTCCTGAGGTTTATATTCAAAGCAACTCTTGACTGACACGTGCTTATGCCCTCCCTGCCTGTTCAGCAGCTTTAGCCTGGGCTTGTTCCTGACAAACGTCTCCCTGATATGGAGCCACAGATGGCGGGTGGGCTTGCTGACTTCCACTTGGATATCCACGGTGCCCGTGTAGGTATCATCAACAAGGTCTGGTTCCAGCAGCAAGTCATAATGGATCGGTTTCACATAGTCAGGCAGACGAAAGTTCTTCCAATCACCGCTGCTGTCAATGGAAGGCTCGCAGGGCCCCCTACCAGGTTGAGGGGTCAGTGTAGGCTCTGCTGTAGGGGCTGGTGTCGACTGTGTGGTTGTTGTGGTCGTGTCAGAACTCGAGAGGCCCACCCCTAGACCCACTGCCAAAGAACAGACTACTACCGTGATACAAATGATGAGAACATGCTTGCCACGGATACAGTACTGCCGCTTCTCCTGCTCCAAGTCCATGCTGTCGACCATCACGGGTCTCCCACGCTCGGAAGCCTAAATGGGATGGAAGTACCAAAGTGAAGTTGTAGCTCAAGGTTGTGACTCTAAGAGTAGGTACGCTATGTTATTGTAAATTGGTCTCGGGCTGCCCTCTGTGGCGCGAAGGGGTGGAGAAAAGGAAAGTGAGGGGAAAGAATCCCACAGTGACAAGACGCTTTCCTTGTAGCAGGAAGAAACGCCTCCTCTTGTAAATCAGCAATCTGCCATTCGGTCAAAAGCTAAACTTCAGCTCGATGTGTGTAGCTTTGCAGAAAGAATGTTGACGCCTAAAAAAAATCGACTTATCTATTACGGTTTTATTGCAGTTGTGAAATGGTTCACATAATCATCAACAGAGGGAAGATATTAAAAAACTTTGCATTGTGCTGACAGAGTCAGAGAAATATTCCCATTATACTATTACACTGTGTACTGCACTGTGGTGACACAATCTGACAGCTACTACAATAACATATGCTGTACCTGAACATAAGAGTCCATCCTATATGCCCCAAAAATTATAATATGACATAACATGTTAATGTATATGTTAGAACATAAATAAAACATACATTTTTGATCACCTTAATTTGAATGTGGTTGGGTGATGTTCATAATATTGAATAACATTTGTTCAATATTGATCACCGATGGGCAACTGAAGACCAGTGTGCCACACTGGAATGGGGCTCAATTAATTTTTGAAAATAAAAATCTTCACTGCAGCTGAGCAGATTCAAGATGTAATACCAGCGTTCTCCAGTCGATGGCAGACATCACTTACCGGTGCCTCCAATCCCAAGACTATACTCATGCATCAGAGAAGTCGAGCTCGGGTCCTGTCGAGAACCAACTCTGGAACAATTTGGTTATTTTGGGTGGCACTCCGAGTTACTTCAGAATGTTCCAAAGATTGGACAACACAAATATGATTCCTTACTGGAGAATACTTACTATAAATGTTTAACCACCTTCATATATTGCATACACCGTGGACAACAAATAGATGGATAACTAGTTTTGACATCAGAAGTCAAGAATAATGAATTGTTCAAACATTGTAGTTATGACATTATACATGACAATTTTAAATTTTGGTTCAGACTTTAGCAAGCATCATGGAAGTTGACATCTTGGATTGCTTTGCGGGCCACATAAAATGATGTGGTGGGCCAGATCTGGCCCCGGGCCTTGACTTTGACACCTGTGCATTATGTTAAGATATGATTCCTCTCTGTTAGCTGGACTTGAAAGAAACAATGTAGAATGCTGTTGAAGGTATTTCCTGCTTACTGTGATTACAATCACGTTTGGTACCCCCTCACTCCCACCACTTTTAGGACCCCTCCAGAGGACATGTCAACAACAAAAGAGGAACTGTTATCTCAAGTATCTGTGTTGCAACTATTGAGGGACTGCGCTTTACTATGAGTACTATTGATCTCAGTCTCTTTCCTGAACATCTGTTTGCACACTTAAAACAACGTATGTAGTGTTAAAGTTTCTTCTTCCAGCCACACCGGGTCAGATGTCATGTTACTTTCTTTGTTTCCGGGATTTGCATGAGAGGCGTACCTAACCGCCTCTCATTATCATATTGTCTCTATATAATCTCATGAATGTGTGTCTTTTACGCTTCCTGATTCAAATCTGGACCCCTCAGGATCCCGAATTGATTCGTAAACTGCAGAAAATAAATTAAAACTCTTCGCAGGAACTGTACATCGCCTCCAGCCTTTATTTGGATTACCAACATTCTCCTCGTCCGAAATTCAACGAACATGCGGGGAAGAGGAGGCCACTCTTCCCCCAACAATTAGCATATCCGTCTGTGGGTTTTGTAATGGCAAATGAAGTTAGACTTTGTCATTGTTGTGTCTTCATTCAATGAGGGGCAAATGTGTGTTTTGCCATCTTTGCCAACGTCATTGAGAAGACAATCTATTGATTCAAAATGATGATCCTCAGAGATGCTCCCATTCTGTTGGTGTTGGGTTGCCATTTCACTCCAACAAGAAATGCTGACTGGGTTACCAGGGTGGCGTGAATGGAGCAAAAACACTCTTTTATCTTACTGTCTTGCTCTCCTTCCAAATAAAAACAAACCGTGTTACAATAAAGATTTAAAAACAACAAACAATGGACTTCCGGTTTGGACAGTCATGGAGTAAGAAGCACGTCTACAGAGCTCCTCGATCAATTCGAGCAATGCCGTACTTTATTAGTTATTTGACGAGTTATATTTAAAGGTGACGAAATGCCTAAAGCAAACAAGAAGTCGGTTTCACGGATTGAAATAACCCACTCGGACGGAGAGGATCTCGCCACAAGCGACATCGATGGCCGGCACGAACCCGGGGAGCTACGGGCTAATGAGGCGACAGCTAACCTATCAACGATCCTGCAAGAAGTAAGGGAATTCCGGCGTGAAAGCGCCAATACACTCACCGAAATCAAGGACGAAATTAAGACGACTAACAACAGAATAGATGACGTCGAAACGAGGATCTCAGAGACGGAAGAAAGAGTGCTGGGGCTGGAAGAAGTTACGAAGGAGCTGCTACAGCTACAAGCTAAAATGGAAAATAAGTTAACTGATCAAGAGGAAATTCGTCAGTAATAAGATTAAGGAGGAGGTCCTGCGTAATGTTTGGCACAAGAAGGGATTTCTGTACAAAGAGAAGAGAGTTTTTGTCGACCACGACTATGCACCAGAGACCCTGAGGAAACGCCGGGAATACGCAGAGGCGAAGAAGGTGCTGCGGGAGAAAGGGATACGATTGCAGACTCCGTTTCCAGCAAGGATGAGAGTATTCTACGAGGGAGAAACGTGCCTTTACGAATCAGCGCAGGAGGCCACTTCCGACATGCTGAAGAGGGGTTTTCCCGTGGCTGTATACAAACCTCCTATCACCTGGATTGACAGAATCAAGAACAGACTGTGGCATCGGTCTGCAAGCGGTGAGGAACAACAGCTGGACGCTCCACGTGAGGGTTTCAAAAAAAAACTGTCCGCATACAGGAGAGTGGACAATGAAAATTGTTGAAGCCTGACAAGGTGACGAGATTTACCACTGTGGGACAACCAAGGGTTAGTTGAACTGAACAGTATTTGGGTTTTTGTGTGAATATGCTTGGGCATGGGTGTAAGCATGCGTGTGTGGGTGTATGCGCGAACAGGTGTATGATTGAGTTTGTCGGGGTATGAATGGGCGTGTGGACAGTTATGTATGATTGCACGGGGGTGTATGTGAGTAAGTCTATTAGTAAGCACTGCATGAACATGTGGAAAGGTATGTAGGGGAATAGGTATGCGCGAGTATGTGTGTGGGTGTATGTACATATATGTAGATGTGTGTGTATATGTAAAATGCAACTAGGTGTTTACGTTTTAGAGTATACGTGAGTCAATGAGTATTGAAGGCGGAATCCCCACCACACTCTTTGACCAATAATCAAATACCTTGGCGGACTTCCGGGGTGCTCGTTGATGGGCTCAGGAATGATCAGAAGCACACGTCTTTTGAGTCAGTAACACAGAAAAGTATTTAATCCCTAACAAATAGTCTAACACAGCATAGATCAAGCCAATTATTCTAAACAGAGCTCTGGTTCATCAACTTCTCCTAACCGCGAAGGTAGCAAGGCAGAGTGACCAAGACGCCTTTCCCTTGACCCACCTTTAATCCAATTCCTCAAAAAAGTGTGTGTGTGTGTGTGTATGTGTATGTGTGTGTGTGTGTGTGTGTGTGTGTGAATTGTCCTATTGTGAATCTTCCTTTGATATGTATATGGTCTCCAACATTTGGCCATCTTTTGTTGTTGGAGTCGGTCATCCTGCTGTGGGGCCTTTTCTAGTGCCGATTGCGATCTCCACTCCAGGGGTCCAACCTTGCCTCCCCCCCTTTGCTCGTGGCACCTTGGCACCCCCTCTTCCTCAATCACACATGAATGCAAACAGTCTCTCATTTACACTCAGAAAAACATCATTATTTGCAGTCACGCATTCCGATCCTCCACCCGAGTCTTTTACAACCATGAAACAGCACTGTAACAACAGCAAGGATTTTGTGACTAAATGAAAGACGCAATACGGCAATACTAAAGTGTACACTATGAATGCAAGTCCCTTCAGTATGTATGCCTGTTCGTGTGTGTACGTATGTGTGCATGTATGTATACATAGATATGATCGAGGACGCTTGGACTCTTATGCACAAATGTCTCTGGGGGGGGCGACAACTAACAGAGGGCCCTCTACAAGGGAACTTTAGTGGAGGCTGCTCGCCTCTTGACCGGTACTCGTAAGAGGGAGCACATAACTCCTACTCTGGCATTCCTTCACTGGCTCCCCATACATGTTAGAGTTATTTTCAAGATCCTCTTGTTTTCAAATCTCTAAATAACCTTGAGCCACTTTACCTCTCTGAGCTCATCTGCCCCTACACACCTGCCCGGCGCCTCAGGTCTGCGGACCAGACATTATTAGAAGTACCAAGAACTAAACTGAGGCTCAGAGGGGATCGAGCCTTTTCTGTTGCTGGTCCCTCTCTCTGGAATGACCTCCCAGTGAACATTTGGCAAGCCTCCTCGCTGTCCATCTTCAAAACCCGCCTCAAAACTCACTTGTATTCTTTGGCATTTGACTCAGCATGACTTAGATTC